TGACCCAGGTAAGGACAACTTTTCCGGATATAATTTACATACTTTTTTCTTCACTGATTTGATCCAGAAATCGTATTGTTCTTCATTGATCAGTTCTGCCCACTGGAGCTGCATTAGTGCTAATGTCTGTTTGTGAATAGTAAGAGCCAGCGTTACAGGTTGTGGCCATGATACTCATTCTGCTTAATTTCTGTTTGTTTGTCAGGTTTAGAGCATTTAGGGCCAGCATCAGGGCTTGGGACAGATCTTTTGGCTCTGTATCAGAGGGCTGATATGTCTGACATCAGCATCCGGGTGGCAGATAGAGTCTTTTCAGCACACAGGTAAAATCATCTTGAGCATTTGCATAAATGTAGTCATTTGCTTGTAAATCTAGTATTTATTTTGGATAATTTAAAACAAACCTATGGCATAAAATCATGAAGTAATCAATTACATTGTAACTTTATACAGTGTAAAAAAGGACGGATTTTCTTTCTTCCGTTGAAGCACAGAATGCTCTTTGAAACATTCTCAAATCATATTGGATAACATGATCCTCAGGCTTTACACAAGTTCATGCAGCTCAAGCAGGGGTGCCTTTAGTTAACCAGAGGACCTTGGGTTCCTTGGCTTCCCAACCCCAAGTAAAAATGCCACTGGGCCTCATAGACATTTTAATTTGTGCTAAAATATGAATAAATTCAAATTACATGACTTCTTGTTTTTCCATCTGAAAAGTCCTTGATAACATCAGCAAAATCCAATTTTTGGAGAATGTCACGTTCGATAGAGATTAGCGTCTCAAATTCTGTCTTAATGAATGTGCAATAGGATCTATAAACTGTAATCATGGTGATAGTGATTCAAGTAAAATGATACTCTAAAATCTTATCACATTTGAATTGACAAAAGTCGAGGCTTAAGTTTGTGCGTCACATTAACTGACAACAAAGTGAGAGCGGAGTATTTGAGTTGCACACAGACCACAAAACTCACTGAAACAGCTCCGGTGGACAGTGACTTGATCTAAAATCTTCAGGTGACACTCAGATTATATCCACACCTACCCACGTTCAGCAAACAGTGGCTCTCTC